ACAGTATATGAACCAGTCTCAGTTTAGTCCTGATCCTCTATATGAACCAGTCTCAGTCTAGTCCTGATCCTCTATATCAGACCTGGGCATTGTACGGCCCGCGAGCTGTTGCCGTCCGGCCCGCGGGAGGTCATTGGGAAATTAGGAATAAAACGTAAATAAATGCACATCATGCACAGAATAGAGCTGCATTGCTTTTATTTTGAAGGCGACTTTTGTTGTTGTCTTCTTCTCAATTTACTGTGCTGGTGAATGTGTGTGAGCAGCAGCGTCACTGCAATGTGTTGGCGAACTGAGTTTACGGGAGATGTGAGTTTTTGTTAGCCCTCAAAAATGTCAGTCTGTGTTAAGAAAAGAAAGACTGACACCGAGTGTACCCAGTGAGCACTAACCCGGATTTCAACGTTGATTTCTGGTTGAAAAAGCGTTGAAATGGGGTCTGAACGTCTTAGACATATTTTAACCGTCTATTCAACCGGCTAAATTACGGTTACAATATCATCGTCTCACAAAACACCAACTTGTTTTAAAATATTGATGGTTTGTTAAGTTGTAGGTTGAAAGAGACAATTTTGGTTACAATTGGGGTTGGAGTCCCGCGTCCAATTGTCTGGGTTAGAGTCCCGAGGCGGGGTTGGAGTCCCACGCTAAATAAGACCTCAGAGAGGCCGGGTTAGAGTCCCGCAATGTGATAAAACACGACTTTTTTTTGTGTTTTAATGACTGTTTTTATTGTTTCAATGTATGTTTTAAATCTCCCTTTTGCCTTATGTTTTGATGCTTTTAATGGTTTTATGTGAAGCACTTTGAATTACCTTGTTGTTGAAATGTGCTATACAAATAAACTTGCCTTGCCTTGCCTTACTTTAAACGTATTTCTCCAAAATCATATTACGCTGGCCGTTGAAATGTGGTCTACACGAAGACGTGATTTCAACGCATTCAATGTCTCATACAAAACGTCGTAAATATGGAACTACAGACTGTGTGCTGTCAACAAGAAGCTCCCAGGACATCGTAATGAGCAGAGCACATTCTGTCTGTATGTCCACCTAAAATACAACTCCGTGTTTACTGCTGGAACACGCATGCGCACGGACTCAGTGCATTTTTCTGAGACGGCCGTGCTGTCTGCACGATTTGAGCTAGCTAGCTAGCTAGCTAGCTTACTGAGTTGATGAGCGAAGTGAACGAGCTGACGGAATAAACGAGGCTTCACGCTAACGACATACTCTGTAAGTACTTGAACTACTTTATTCCAATATTGCAAACCGAAATATCATTACCATACCACTAATATCATGTTATGCTCACCATGGTGGCGAGGCTGCTAGCAATTGTAGCGTTAGCATGTTAGCTTGTTACGAAAGTAAACAGACACGTGTGTTAGTTAATATTGGAGACACTTTCTTTGTGGACTGTCCCTGTAGCCCAACGTTATAAAATGGAGTATTTAGGACATTTCACATGTAAAATACACGTGTATTTTCTTACTGTCTGTAGTACGGACAGCGAGTGGGGCTGTACACAGTTTAAATGTGGAGGACGTGAGTAAAACGAAGTAATGTACTAATAAACATGGTCAAAACATTGTTGTTTGGCTTATAGCAATATACAAAGAATATAAAGTATATACTGTGTAATATCCAGCTCAGCATCGTTCCGTTGAAGACACGTTTATGGTCTCCGGTGAAGAGACCTTCAAAACTGGTCTAAAAGTGAATATGTTTTATAATACTTGTTTTATTTACAGATGTCCAGCTTGAAAATATGGCAGACCTCCTGAAACCAGCTCCTGTGTGGCTTTGAAAACGACATTTAAAGAAGGAGAAGGAGATTATGGTTTTATATAATGAACATTGTTTATATTTATATTGTGCTTTAATAAATACAAATGAACTGTTGCCTGTGTCACTAATGGTCTTTTGTCCTGTAAGTGGAAACTGTTGATGTGTTACTAACATTAAGTATTTAGTTGCTACATACTGATCTGACAGCATTTTACAGTTAAAACACGGTGACGTTGAAAAGTGAAAGTGTTTTAGCCGACTATTTGAAGACGTTGATTCAACGTTCACGTTTAGACCAGATATCAACGTGATGTCCAATACTGGCTTTCAACTGATAAATGTGGATGTGGTTTCTTAGTAAGCCTCTAAAATGATGATATATTATTATTATTATTAGCACAATGTAGAGGACGAAAAATTGTAGTATTGCAAATCACGTTTAAATCTGGTCTAAGCGTGAACGTTTAATCAACGTCTACAAATAGTCGGCGAAAAAACTTTCACTTTTCAACCAATTCTGAACGTCTTTTCAACGCTGGGCGTAGACGTCTTTTAAACGTCTTTTCAACGGAAAAATGCTCACTGGGTAACGAGGAGGATCGAGGATATCGCGGGAAACATGGAGCTTCGGCTGCAAAAAAAATCAGACCATTTCCAACTTTTCTCCTCGGCTCTGACGAGAGCTGTGATGTCCACGACACAGCCCAGTTACTCATCTTTGTACGTGGGATAACGAAAGACTTTGTGATTACAGACGAGCTGGCAGCAATGCAGTCAATGAAAGGAACGATGACGGGGAGCGATTTGTTCACGGAGGTAAATGCATGCTTCCACAAGCTGGGACTGAAATGGGACAAACTGGCATGTGTCACAACTGATGGTTGTCCAAATCTGACAGGGAGAAATGTTGGACTTTTAAAGCGGATGCAAGATAAAGTGACTGAAATAGACCCAGAACTGAAATGTGTATTTTTGCATTGTATTATACATCAGAATGTGTTGTGTAAGTCAGTGCTAAAACTTAACCATGTTATTGATGTTGTAACTAAAATAGTTAACGTCATCAGGGCACGAGCATTGAATCACAGACAGTGTGTTGCACTCTTGGAGCAGCATGAGACTGAACACAGCTGTCAGTGGCTCAGCCTGGGCAAAGTGCTTAAAAGAGTTCAGGACCTGAGAGCAGAGATTCAAGAGCTCTGTGAGAAGAAAGGCAAGAACATCCCAGAGCTCTCCGATGTAAACTGGATGACGGGTTTTGCATTTGCTGTTAATGTGACTGCACTAATGAATGATCTGAATACCAAACTGCAAGGCAAGGGCCTCTTTGCACATCACATGTACAGCCTGGTGAAGGCTTTCATGACAAAGTTGCAGTTTCTTTCAAGCCAGATGCAGGTAACACACTCGCCCACCTGCACACCCTGAAAGAAGCCACACCATCAGTTGAACATCTCCACAGGTATCATCCATGTTAGGGGCACTGCATGGTGAGTTTAAGGCCATTTCAAGACTTCAGAACAGTTGAGAGTGAAACATGATTTCTTATTCTTCACGTGCAGTGTGGATGATGCTTCCAGTGATGTTCAGCTCCAGCTCATTGACCTGCAGTCTGATGCAGTACTGCAGAGCACTTTAAATCAGTATCACTGCTGGATCTGTATTCTTCTCTCAAAGAGGAGAACTTTCCACGCATGAGGAGGCATGCTCAGAAGATGTTGGTCCTCTTTGGATCTACCTACATCTGTGAACAAACATTCTCCATGATGAAGTTCAACAAATCCAGATCCAGATCCTCTCTCACTGATGATCACCTGTCAGCTGTCCTTCACATCTCACCTCACACATTCAGCCTGACTTCAGTGAACTCGTTCAAGCCCAACAAAGACTCGATTTATCGCACTGAACTGAAAAACAGAAAGAGATCATTTGTATAGTAATAGTTATAGTAATAAAAGTACTAATTTTGCAAAAACATAATCCCCGTCAGTGTTCTACTATTATATATGGATATTACAAATTTAAACAGTATGTTGTTTGGATTATTCCTGCTGCAGATGTTTCAGGTGGAGCTCATTTTAACTCCTTTATACTCTGTTGTTCAGTTTGTGTAGTTAGGAAAGGTTTGAAAAATTATAATGTGCAAAGTAACTAGTAACTAAAGCTGCCAGACAAATGCAGTGGAGTAAAAAGTACAATATTTCCTCTGAGATGTAGTGGAGTAGAAGTACAAAGTTGAATAAAATAGAAATACTCAAGGAAAGTACCTTGAATTTGTACATAAGTACAGTACTTAAGCAAATATACTTAGTTACATTCCACCATTGATCATAACATTTACTCTTACCACTCACAGCTCATCAACACCAAACAACATACTGCTTTTTATAAAGACGTGGAATAATACTGAGCAGGATTGAGTTCAGTCTATTGGTCCGGCCCTCCACAACAGTCCCTGTTTCTCATGTGGCCCCTTGGGGAAAATAATTGCCCACCCCTGCTCTATATGAACCAGTCTCAGTGTAGTCCTGATCCTCTATCAGACCTCCATCAGTAAAGAGACCATCACAGAGAAGATGCTCTGTTTCTATAGAGTTATTGTTGATGCTCGTCATCGGAGCCACCGGGTCGGATTCTGGTGAAACCAGATGAACTCATGCAGGTTCACCAGAACCTCCTTCAGCTCAGACTCCAGCAGAGACCGGTCCACCGTGGACAGACCCGGATCCTCCAGCAGAGACCGATCCACCGTGGACAGACCCAGATCCTCCAGCAGAGACCGGTCCACCGTGGACAGACCCCGATCCTCCAGCAGAGACCGGTCCACCGTGGACAGACCCGGAAATCAGTATCACTCTTGTTGGGGATGTCTCAAAATGTCCTCTGTCAAACCTCCATCCTCATAAGAATAGCGTAACTTGACCTCACACACACACACACACACACACGCAGGAGAAAGGAGTCCACCTTGTGCGTCACACAGTTTATAAATGCCACCATCCTCTCTCCCTGTTCTCTCTCCAGTCAGAGCTGCTCTCTCATATTGTAGGATGAACATTATTATTATTATTATAACATTTTCTCCACTTTTCCTCTCACGATTACAATTCAGTTATTTAAATACACCAAAAAACAAATCTGACCAGTCAGACTCTTTGGTTTGATTTTCAGTTTTTAAAGTGTGATCACTTTAAACTCAAAGTGATCTTTCCAAACCTCCCATTGATGTCTATCTTTGTATTTTGCATGTGAGAAATCATGAACTGCACGTTTGTTCAACTCCAGTTTAAGTTCTTTGTTTTATTCTTATGAATCTCTGCGATTAATATGAAGTACAAAGGACTTCCTGCAACCTGCAGCTTCTCAGACAGAGTCAAAACTCTTATCTGTTCGTTTTATACAGTTTAGTACATTTTATCAGGAAATGATAGATAGCTAAACTGCAACCAAAGCCAATTAACTTGAAAAAGAAACAACCTTTTTTTAAAGATGAACCATTATTTGTCTAAGTTTTTAAAATCTTTCTCGATCTGTTTCATCCACAATGTCTTGATTTTTGCATGTTTCCTAACATCAGTGTACTTGAACGGCATTAAAAACACTAACATTGTTTTTAAGTGAGAGCGGGGTCTGTTGGGACAGAGTCTCTTTAGCAACTTAGAAAGCAACTATGTCACTCTCCAGGTTCATACTGAGCCACACGCTCTTAACTTTCAACTTTTA